AAAAAAACTCAGAAGTCAGAACATAAACCTCAAAACCCTTGGACTTACCTTGTTGATGCTCAACAATGTTGGTGTCGTGACCGTGAGAATGTGCGTAATCCATGTAGAAAATTTTAGAAACGGCGCTGATTTACAGAGGAAAGAAACTGTTGAATGCAGAAACCGACGAGGAAGCTTTTGAAATTTTATAGAGGAAAGACTTCTGCCACCTACGCATGGGATGGGACTGTAGCACTGGGACACGTGTGATATATGAAAATGACACAACTCCTTCTCTTGCCACGTATTACCTGTCCGCTTGCAGACTTGCACGCGTGGCATTTTAAATCGTTATTTTTCTGTCGCGGATAATCATGTTATCAAAGGCGTAAGCGCAACCGCTGGAAGGATAACTACTGTTGGCGTCTCTACTGTGAGTGCTTTTAAAGGAAACGGGTCGCACTCGGGGATTGTCTGGTGCGGAAGGGAACACACGAAATCGGACTTGATCTCTGTCCCTACTCCCTAGTTATACGTGGTACCGTACTAAGGGGAAGTTGGGAACACGAGTCCATATTGAGATTGCGGCCAAAATGTACCAGCTGGATCCTAGTCGTAAATGCACCTGATTTTTGAGCTTTAATGGCAAAAGGAAAGAAAATGGGGCTTCTGTTTTATGATTCTTGTACTTGTTCTCCTTCTAGGCCCATTTCAGTTACCTGAGTTGTGGGTCTTGAGTCTGTCGTCCATTGCATATGTTTTCCCCCTTTTTGAGGGGCATAACCCAACAACATCAAAAATCTTACGTTTAAGCTCTAAAATGAATTAAAAATTTTTAATAAAATAAAAATTATCTCTTATGTAATCTATTCGTTAGAAAAAATAATAATAATGGAATTGAATGGCATGTTAAAATTTTAATTTCTTAATTATTGAATTGTTTCCTAAGAGATGCTGTTCAATTTTATCATAATATTACAAGTATAAGTATTTTTTTAAAGATATAATTATGATCACATATCTTTTTATTAAGATTACATTAATTTTATTTATTTTAATTAATCATTTTTAATTTATAATTTTTTAAACATTTACTTACAATATATGAAAATATCAAGTTATAAGTTAATTTTAATTGATTAAATAATAAATATTAATTATTTTTAACATTGAATTAAATAAAAAAAATTTAAAATTAATATTATCTGCCTTAACATTATTAAACATAACCAATATATAGATAAAATCTCAATATATGACTCATATGATATGATCATTGTCTAGATTTTTCACCCACTCTACCGGGATCTAGCCCCCTTCTCCCATTTCCCCTCCCCTAGACTAATATGTACTGTATCCAATAAAGGAAAAGGCGCGCAAGGCTACAGTCTCAAATCTCAATAGACCTGCTGCAGCCAAAAGCCACAAAAACCAAATTTAAAGCGCCAATTTCAATTTCGTTTCCCAAAATCAGCCCGTTGCCATTCTTACTTCTCTCGCCTGAAGCGAGAACTCACAAACATCTCCTGCAATGAGAACTCGGTTTCTCAACGTCGATTACTTCTCTTCTTCTCCGGTCGAAACCTCAAGCTTCCTCAATCTCCCAGTCCCTCACCTTCTCCCTTATCGCGTCCACGATCTCAACGAAGCTTTCCTTCGCTTCGACTCTCTCCTCGACGTCTCTCTTGAGATCGAGCCATTGCCGATCAACTCTGCTCTTTCAAAATTCATCTCGGAAGTGATTCCTCACTTCATCGATGTCGATTTTAGCGAGTTCGAGGTCAATCGGTCTCCGAGTGGAAACGGTTGCTTCGATGATCACGTGAAGTTTAGCTCTGGAAGTGTTGGTCATGGATTCTATGAGGTAAGATTTAGCGTCTTGATCTTGTTTTGTAATTGTTTTGCTTTCTTTTTGGCTGATCACGCTGTAGGCGAACTGTGATCTGGTATTTGTTTTTTGCTTTTGGGCATTGTGTTCTATTTTCAGTTGGTTGCTCATGAACAACATAATCTGCTACGTGTTCTGCCTCTTTTTTTGCTTTCTGAGTGAGTATGGTGCGATTAGGTCGCACATTAAGTTTAAGTATAAATTAATTATCATTTTAATTAGGAAAGAAGTACGGTGCACCCTTTGGAATATTAGTAGTTTTATGGAAAAGCTATGGTACCGAATTATCATTCTATGTGTTGTGTTTATTAATTATCATTTTATGGTAAAATGATGCTGAATTTTCCAAGATCTCTTACTCGGAAATATTAGCAAAGAATCATGGTTTACTCTTTTTACTTATTTCTTTTGGATCTTAAAAAATTAATTCGCTCAGAATTAGCTACATTCAATTATACGATCATGAAAGCAAACTTTAGTTCGCACAAATGTGCTGCAAAGGCCTTCAGCTATGTGGATTATGAAAGCAAGAAAGAAAGAGTTGATGTGTTTAGGCAAACTTTTCTAGGTATGGTTTCTGAAAAGCTAAAGGAAGTTTTCGATTACCAAAGTGTCAGGTTTTTTTGCTTTTCCAAGTTGAAAATACCAATTATCTAGTACTTTTGTTCTTTCATGAAAAAGTGGAAATATAATGGGGAGAAAACAGTGATTGCTATGAAATGAAGTAGTGCTGGAGCCTGGAGCGGTAGTCAACTGAGAAATGCTTTATTGTGGTAGAAAAAAAGTAACTGGAATCTTCTTCCTTGATTTTTTTTCTTCTTTTCTTGGCAACAACATGTCTTGGAGGAGGCGAGTCGCGAGTACTGCATTGTCAGGTACATGAGATTTTCATCTTACATGAATGGAGAGCCTCTAGAAAGGAATTCAAACTGTATGTGAAGTACTCCAACTTTCAGTGGAAATGTTTGATTAGTCAAAAGATAGAGAAGGAAAAAAAATGGTGAAGGGGAGAAAACCTTCCAGTAAACCAACGTAATAGATTTTGAATCTGACTTGTATTGACTTAGTTTGTTATACAACTGAACTGTAAGTGTTTTTGATAATTGCTGGGACTTTACGGTTTATGCCTACGAGGATTTCCTTATCTATTTTATTTTATTTTATTTCATTTGCCTGCAGAAAGGATCCATGGTTGGTTATGAAGTGAAGGAACTGCAGGGTCAGAGAAGTTTTATATCTGAATTTCTAGAGGTTGGATTTCCAGAAAAGCATGATTATAACTTTCTCCAGTGATGCTAATCTTATTTTTTAACCTTACTTTAACTTTGCCCCAGTTTCCTTAGGTTCTTTCCTCTAAGGCATGTTTCATTTTTTATGACAGAATGATAATGAGACCGCAGTTGATAATAAAGATTCACCAACGTTTGAAGTAATTGGATTTGAGATACCAGAGCTGGATTCATGCCTGGTATAGTGAATGCCTGCTAAATATGTGTGAATTTGCTGGTTGTATGCCTGTTTGAAAACTATTGTTCTTATATATATTTGTGTGTATTTGGTTGCAGGACAAAACTTGCTTTTCTGAGAAAGAAATTGAGGCATTCTCTGAAGTTCCAGATATTGAACATGATCCTGTACATGTCTAACTTATTTTAAACCATTTGTACTGTATTAAAGTTAATCTTCCTAGGCTACTCTTGTTTCAGTGTTCTTTCCTTGTTGATGCAGAATATTGCACTTGTTTTTTTTCCTCTCTTTGGATAGTAATAAATATAAAAAATAGGCATACAACTTTAGTTATTTAGCTATTTAGCTATTGGTAGTTGCTTCATCATCTTTGGTTTATTTGTTTAAGTATAAACTGTGGTTCTCTTGCCTTTGGATAATTAACATGATTGATAACAAAATATTTATCAGCAGAGTTTGATGGTGACAAGCAGTTTTAGCCAGTGCTTTATCTTGGTTTTTATGAATTTTTTTCCCTAAAAATTTTTCAAAATGTTTTGGTGTCTCATGGAATTTGGGTGTTTCTTGCAGGATATGCTCAAGATAGGACTTATAGTGCAGTACCCCGACAAGATTCAAGAATCAGTTGATTCAGTCGAATATGTTGCTTTAGACTACAATATGGAGCAAAATGCTTATATTTTGGAGGATGAAAATTTTCTTGGAAACCAAGCCCATTCACTACATTGCACATTTCCCACTTTGGAGGTTGATGAGTTTATCCTGAAAACTTTAACTAGTCAGTCTGTGGAGGATGTCTTTCTATCAGTTTTTAAATATATGGAATCCCAACTTCCCACTTCAGAAGAGAATCAGCCAACTAACAGCAAGGAGCTTTTGGGTTCTATTGAGAATGATTTTTTGAAGCTACTTTCTGATGGTTGTTTATCAAAGCAATTTCCTGAACCAGAGCAAGCATTACTGGACTTCTTCACAGATATGGACCTTGTAAGCTTAGTAGAAATTCAACAGATGGAAAGGAACTTTAGATTTGATGAAGGGATGTCTGATGGTGGTTGCTTTTGGTACACGAACTCAATTATTTTTGAGGAATTTCAGATGCTTGAAAGCAATTCATCTAAACCTTTTGAAGTCTTTTTGAACAAACAAACTATTCATGAACCAGAAATATATGATTGGCTGTTCAGGGAGGATATGAGCTTAAAGAATTTCAATGAATTGATTGTTAGTCCTGAATTATCACACATAGATGACATGTTCAAATCTCTGCCTGTACCAGTTCTCTCTGATCATGCAAGGTCAAGCTCACTTTGTGCATTTGCTGAGGAATTACTATCTGAGTTAAAGCCACTGCCATTGTTTGCATCCGATGGGATATACTTGGACTGGCATATTTTGGAGGAAGACAAATGCAAAAATGGGATTCAGCTGGCCTTTCAGAATATGGTGGAGAAGATGGATTTGTATAGCATTGATTTTGGCTTGGAATCCTCTGAGGATCAGAAGTTGGTGTCTGATTTCATTTTCTCTGATAATGGCTTGAATAAATCAATCACAGAACAATATGAGGAAGTACTGAACAGGGGTTCTGATGTTATTTCTTTGCTTAATGGTGATAATATAGTAGATCTATCAGTTAATTTTCTAGATAGTTGGTATTCTGAGCCAGGAAGTGGAGAAGAACTCGCGGGAAAAGATGCCAAGAGGGCCTCAATGCCGTCCAAATTTATGCCACAATTCAGTGATCTTGACTTCTTTCTAAATCCTGAGAAAGCTGGTGCAGAAGAAAATGCTGAATCTGCAATTAAGGAATTTGGTTTTAATGCTACATTGCCCAAGGCTTCAAACAATGACTCAGTTGCACTATGTGCATCTAATGGTGCACAACCACAGCATTGGGATATCATATTCTACAACATAAAATTGTCTGACTGCATTGTGGCTCTCATTGACTACTTTGAAAAGAGCTATCTGGCCATTTTACAGAATGAGACGGAGCTAAACACATTTTTCCCTGAAGATAATTTTATATTGCTCAGTATTCCTAAGCAAAAGCTAATGGAGTGTGTTAAGAAGAAAATTACACGAAAAGCTACTTCTCCTGGAGATGAAGATATTATGGCATTTGTTACCCTATCTGCAATTAAACAAATGGCTTGGTACTTGTGTTTCTATGGCATCCGTACAACTCATCTATACATTGATAAGTTATGTCGAAGCCTGGGCTGCTTGAAATCGAGACTAGATTTCCTCCACTCTGTGATTCACAATGCATATGAAATGGTTGACAGAGAAATAACCAGATCACATCCTTCACTCTCTGTTATCCAGGAAATTCTACAGCCAAACACCTCTCATGGTAGTTTGAAGGCATTGATTTTGGCTGATCGAGTTTTCTGGTGCTGCTTGAAGAAGTTGTTGATATCAATGGGATTATCATGTAACGAGCTACTGACTTTCTATCCAAACGCTAATCCACCAGATACCCACGGCCCTTGTGAGCACGTGAACGTTAAAATGGATATCCAGCTGACTTCTGATTGTTTGTTGGTATCTCACGAGTAAGTTCCAAGCCCATAAAGATATACCATATCATGATTGTCTTGTTGGATGGTACTATTCCATCTGTTTAATGCAATTTATTCATTTTATATCTTTAAACAATATGATTACTAATTCTGCATTAAAGTCACAAGGATTGGGCAATAGGACATTGTTGTTACAAGAAACATGAGATAAGTATTTTAATTAGTTTAAAATCCATGCACATATGGATTTGGCCAAGAGCAGCATAATTTCCCCTCAAAATAATTTCCATTTTTTGTATTTGGATCTATAGCAATAACTCTTGTCTCTTAATTCAGTGGTAATAGTCATCCACAGATTTGGCTTTGCGCTAGCCATTGCTAGAGCTGTATTTCTTACATAATATACATTTGCCCTTTAAACAGGTGACTAATAGGGGATCATCACAGGGCTGTATGACTTTGCATACATATATTCTAATAATTGTATCTATAAACATGCACAGATGGTTATGCTTATTATAGAGGTTGACATCATAACAAGGATGCCTAATGGATACTGATGAACATGTTAGGTACCCAGATTCTAGCTACATAGGACATTTGTTGTTCATGTTTGCCAGTCAATGTAGCAATATTCTCACTTCTGGGTCTTACTAAACTATGGTGTTTTTTATTTCACTTCAAGGCATGTCTCTGCATCTTTTCCATTCCACAAGTTTAATCTTATTCTGGAATATGGAGGTCCATGTGGCTCATCTAGAGTATCTTCTATTTCCCCAAAGTTGGTTGGCTTGCCTCATCTGCACTTCTTAAAGGTGGAACTACGAGAATTTGGTGCATCTAGAGCACTCTGTGAAGGTGTTGATATGCCTCAGGATGCCAAAATGGCTGTGGTAAGTTTTTCTCCTTCAATCTCGAGCACACAGAAAATTCATCTGTACATTAGTAAATTATGAATGTGTTTGTTTGAAATTTACTTGAGTCGCCAGTTTTCTAAAATTTTGATTTCATTTGACTTGCACTGCCATCCCCAAAAAATACTTAAACCCCCCCAGCACCCAAAAAGGGGAAGAAATCATGTTGCAGAAAATTTGGGTATAAATTTGATAAGTCAAGACAGTATTTTATCATCTTGTTTAAACTGGAATTTATTAGGCATTAGATCAAATGATAAATGCAGTTATTTGGTTAGCTTAGATCCTAAATTTACATCTTATCAATTAAAACATAAGTGAATAAATATACTGGAAAACATTATTGCAGGCCTGTTGCAGATTTGCAGGGATGTGTGCATCAAATCTGATTGCTCTTTGTGTCGAGATTGGGGGATTTTTTTCCATGTACTAGTTGCTGCATACAATTAAGTTGAATAGGAGGTACAATACCACATAGAACAGATTTAGATGCCATGTTGAAAGATTGGCTATGACATTGGGGAAATTCCTTTCAGGGCAAACCTAATTTAGTTTCATGTTTGTCTCATTTCATTTCAGAATTTACTTCAGTTAAATAAGTTTTCTAGCTGTTTAAGTTGATATTCTTTCAGGACATAAACAATCAAACATACAAATTTACTGTCTATGCATCAATCAATCTTCAACCTTTACTGCTTTTCTGCAAGTTGGTTTAAGAGTAGTTTTTCCCTCTTCTGCATATATGCATCTCTTATAGTTGTAAATTCTTTGCTTATATAATTAATTTTCACTTGCTGGATTGTAAACATATATATTGGAAAGCAATAGCCAATAGATAACTATACTGATTCTATCCATGCCCTAGGAAGGAGATTCTGATTCAACCCTGGTCCTGGATGATGATATGAGTCACCAGAAGTTGGAGGAACTTCTGAACTTTGTCCCTATAGAGGGCATGTGTACTAAGATCTCTGAGGTACCTGCTGCTAAAAGAAAAGCCCAATATATTCCTCCTAGTGTTTCTTGTTCTCAACCGGTAGAAGAAACCAAGCACACTGAGCAGAGAGTGGTGGATACAGTCATTGTTGTGAATACTCAAAATTTTGATAAGGAAATGATAATATCCAGACGAAGAACATATCAAAAAATTCTTGCAATGGAGAAAGAAGGAGCTCAGATTCTGGAGCGTGATTCTGATCTGCCTGTGGATGTAATTATTAGTTCAGCAATTTCCCTAGTGTGGTACAATTGCAGAAACATTGGAAAGAAAGCAACTGGTATAGACGAAGTGCCGTCAAGTTTGCCTTTGTGCATCGAGAATATTGCAGCAAACGTTTTAATGTTGCTGAGTTTCAGTTTCAGTGGCTGTTTCATGGTAATTTCTATATCTTGCTTACATCATTTGCTACAAGTTGACCTTCACCTCTAAAGTGGATGGTTTTTATGAAGGATGGAAATTGGAAATATGATTTCTAAAAACATTTAAACTTTCATTTTCAGAAAATTGAATCATCAGTTTCTTTGGGTTTTTACTTCCAGGTCTTTGAAGGAGAAATTGGCTTCCTTTCTACTATAATGGAATCCTCAGCTGGACTTTACGCAGCAGCAGCAAGTCTGGGAATTGATTTTCAGCTATTTTGCTCCGATTCATCTGAGTTAACGGATGAAATTATATTGAACTGCATAAAATATGCTGCTAAGTTGACTAGGAGCCCATATCCAAGGATGCCTGAGTCAGAAACTCTTGCTGAATCATTCCTTACAAGGTTTCCTTCGATCAATCCTTTGACAGCTCATGCAATACTTTCTTCAGTTGGAATGCTCATTGAGTTTCTTGAGTGGTCACATGACCTCAGGGCATGCGCGATACAAAACTACTCTGTGCCTGATGAGAGCATTGCTCTGTTTGTTGCTTTGTGCAAGTATGGTGAGCGAGAGGATGCAAAATCTATAATGACAGACTCTTCTTCAGCATCTTCTTGTCTTGACTCTGATAAGTGCCTTGTTAATGTTGATTCTCAAAGCAAAAGACAAAAATACAACTGTAGCCCTAAGAAAATTGACATAAGTATGGATGACTTAATGCATTTTGACCCAATGAATCAATGCAATGATGATTTCCTGATACCTGCTGGACTCTCAAAGGAAAATGAGTCTTGGATGTCTAAAGATCATGACACATTGCAGGGGTACAAGAAGCCTGGTTTGCCCCTGAATAATTTGTTTGGTCCAAAGCAGGAGTTTGGTTTTACTGAAATGGAGAGTCCCCAGATTTTAAGTGAAACAAAAGTTCCTAATTTACCTCTGTGCCATAAACATAGTCTGGAAGTAGATAGGGGTATGACAAATATTGATAACTCTGATAATTGGTGTGAAGACTTTACAGGTAAAGTGATTTACATCACTGATAGTCCCTTGAAAGGGGAAGACCTCTCTTACATTGCTAGATCTCTGAATTTCTCATCTTTTGTGCCTGAGATGGAAAAGGATTCCGCCAGAAAGTCTAAAACAGTGAGAAGATTATCATTTGATCATAGCAGTCACCTGAGTTTCCCAACTGCTCGTGAGTCTGGTTCAGATGTATTCACGCCTTTAAAATATCCTAGACAAAGTTTCCAAGTAACCAATGATCGGCGAGATACAGGTTATAACAGTGATAAGTTGCCCCTTAATTACCAAGAAAACCTCTTAGAGGAGGCTTTAGCTCAGGGATCTAAAAGTTGCAGAGGGTCACTGTTCGAAAAAGAAGCATCAAGTCCTGGAGGAACTCTGCTGTCAAAGGCCATTCTTTCTGCCCATCCGCAGCCTGGGTCACCATGGACAATAGAATTTCTCAACAGAATAAGAGAAAAGAGCAGATTACGGCAGCAGTCCCTTCCACCTGATACATCTCTCTCAGATTTGGGGTTATTCGGAAAGACATCTAAAGTTCATAAGAGAAGAAATCCTTCCATTCTTGATTTTTTCAAATACCAAGGGGGTAGCACTCCATTTAGTCCTCAAAAAATACCAGAAGAAAAGAAGCGGAAACTGAATCAGCAACCGTCAAGCTCATCTGAGGACAAAAAATCCTCACCTTCCCTTCCTCCAACATGGACACGCATTGCTAAGAGAGGAAGACCGGTTCGTATAAGCTAGCTTTTTTTTACAATATTGCATATAATATGCACATAAAAATGCATTTGTGCGAGTTTGTGTTGTTAAATCTTGCTTGTGTTCCTGCAGACTCTATCTTTTACATTGGATGGGAGTGGAAATCAAACTAAGCTGGTTTGGAGCAATGGAACTGCCCATGCTTCCAGCAAAAAGTATGGTAATAAATAACTGGAATGAAAACAAACGGACTAAAGGAGCGCAAAGGGTACAGGTTCGGGATCATTTACAAAATCAAAAGTTGGATCTTATATACCTTCTTTTTCTGGGCCAGAAAATAGAAATGATATATATGTAGTTCAAACCTCTCTTTTAGATGGGAACATGCGCTTCACCAACTGACCTACGAGTGCAACCGCAAGCAACAATGATATTTAGACATTCTTAATTTTGTTTACATTATGAGCCTACTCTTTAATGATGGCGTGAACTTCATGCTGTTTCCACAATGTTTCTTCTGCTATATATCTAGATTGGTTACATCAAGTCAGCTCCAACATCAGTTACCCTCTTCCTGCCATATATATTCTAGTTGGGCAGCAAGATTAAATTGACTAGGTTGAGGCAGTTAATCCTAGAAACTCATATTTGACACTGAACTCAATTGGTCATTGAAAAATGAATAAAATATATAGGGAGAGCACTGCTGGCATCTCTCTTTGTTATGCATAGGAAAGCTCTTAATGTCACTTCCATTTTTCTAAATGTGTTGTATTCACGGTTCTTATCTGTTTAACCTTGTCTCCTCAAGTTGTATACCGGTAATAAATTTATTATTCACACAGAACTAGAAAGTAACATCTTATTTGATAGTTAGCCACAAAAAAATAAAAAATAAATAAAAACTTGTAGTTGTTGATAGTTACCTTAAACAGTGTCTGGACCAGAGGGTATGGCTGAGTTGATTTATGGGTGCAATCATCACAAATTTATGTTTAAAAAAAATTATTTGGGGACTGAAATAGTGAAGCAATGATTGAATTATGTACCAACAAATCCACTAATTCTATGAACATCCAAACATTCAAATCTGGAAAGCCAACATCTGCTGCTGGGGCCTTTTAGCTTTATAGGTTGAATCAAAACATGTTTTAGAATTAAGAACGGGAGAGGTTAAGAAAAAATACAAATGGCTTTCTGTTCTACCAATTCAATTGATATGTGAACTTTGATGTAACCATACACCCAAATTTGCTGCTCTCATAGAAATCATCTTCTTCACCCTGTCAAACCTCTTGCATCTTCAGACATGCTAGTTCTTCTTACCATTCTTGAGATTTCTTACTGTCATTACAAGTTGCTGCCTTTCACCTTCTACCACTGCAAATTTGAGACTTATTTCTGAATATCTTTCTTGCATTTCTTTCAGCTCATGCTCCATTGTCTTGTTCCTTTCCTTAAGAAATGCCACTTCTTTTAGCAACTCAGGATTATTGATGGCAGAAATGGCCTCCTGCATTTAGAAAAGCATTTTAAACCTGAGTGGGATCCAGAAACTTACGATGACACAGGAAAACCTACAGTATTAAGGTTGAACTTAGAACTAAGTAAATGTCATGAAAACAGCAAGTTATGGAGGTTGTTATTCAGGGTCCTTTGCTGCTATCTTTAAGAAGAAATTTGATAAGATTTAGAATTGCAAGAAATTTCCACAGGACCTTGTCTCTTCAGATATGATCATATGCACATGAAGAAATATGCACACACGCGCGCACACACACACACACACACACGTTTATAGTTTCAAAAATGGCAATATGTTTAATGGTTGTACATCACAACCAATATAATCAAAGGTAATTATTTACATGAAAATGTTTTGCTGATCTTTGAAATATGATTTGTGATTTGTAGGCCTGAATTTCCTAGATTGAACTAGTAGTGCCTAGTTGCATGATAAAAAACCGATACTTAGTTGCATGATAAAAACCGATACTAGTTGATGGCTTGATGCATTTTTATCAAATTGATTAATTATCCACAAACCTTTTGACTGTGATCTGCAGAAAAACATTGACAATTTTTGAGCTGTTCCAGGCTGCTCTGTAGCTCTTCAATCATATGGCTGATATTTCCCTCCTTCCCTGGAACTGAATTTGTAGTTTCCTTGAGTTTTAACTGTTCCTGTCAAACATGGAAAAATTATAGATATTTGATATTTGATGAATGAGAGAAAAAGAAGTGTTAGCTTAGCTAAGTTGTTTGGACTTTATGGAACATGGTTTAGGACCATTTAAATGGCTTATCCCTGGAAAAAATGAAATTATATACCAACATCATCTACTTTCACCTGTTATGTTGCCTATCTTGCCTAGGATATGTTTTGAAATGTGCAAAAGAGAGAATGCATGTTATTTCTAACTTTAAACATTTACCTTAAGCAACCTCAATTTCTTGTTCAAACTAGTTATATCCTTAGAGTTGTGAGGAGGAGGTGGGGTAGAGTTGCTGCTCCTTGTACTCAACTCTAGATTGCGAAATGCTGATTGACCATTTTTTTTCTGTTTTCCTATACTCTTGATTTCCTCTTCCTTCTTCTGTAGGTCATTTCTTAGTTGAACAACCTGCTTTCTCAATTTTTCTTTCTCCATTTCTTCTTTGATCAAGCTACTTTTCATTTCATTACATTCAAGTCTCAGGTTTTCCGTTTCTGACTGCAAATTTGAGATTATTATCTCTTTTTCATCCTTCAAAGAACCCATGGTAAGTAATTGCTCCTGTGCTTTATCTGCTTCATTCTTTGCTGAAGTGATCTTTTTCTCCAAATCATCTCTCTCTTTTTTCCATCTTTCTATGAGCTTCTCCATCTCATTGTGTTCTCCCTCTTTCTTTTGTGCTTGATCAAGTTGGTCCAGTAGCTCTTGCTCTCTTTTTATACTCTTATCCTTAACTAGTCCAAGCTCATCAAAAGCTTTCTGGAGCTTTTCTTCCAGATTTCCTTTTTCCAAACGCAGTTCATTAGCTTCTGTAACTGCTTCCATGTACTTCTTCTCATTGTCATCTAATTTAGTTGCCATTTCAACAGAAACCCTTTTAAATTCCTCCTGAAGCCGCTCAGCAGTCACAGCATTTTTCCACCTTGTCGTTCTCAAGGCCTCCTCTGTCTTTCTCAAGGCCTCCTCTGCATTGATAGCTCTCTGTTCCTGCTCTGTTTTTGAATGTATCATATCATCCATATGAACTTCAAATCCCTGTGCCTGCTTCTCCATTTCTTTCTTTAATTCCTTGACTTGACTTTCAAGTTCATTAATGGCAATCAAAGATTCTGAGTATTCTTCTGACTGCTGCATGATTTTGTCCTCTAATATTTGTACATCGGATTCAAGTTCTTTTATGGTAGCCAAAGATTCTGAGTACTGATTTTGCACCCTCTTTGACTCTGACTCTTCTAGCCAATTTTGCTCTAACTGAGAGGAGATTTTGTAATTTTCCTGTTTAAGGACTTCATGCTCATGGCTGAGTTGTTCTATATGCATCTCTTGCTCTTCTTTGTCTTTCCTGTAGTGCTCTAGTTCAGCATTTAGTTCTGCAACTGTCTTGTTCAGCATGTCTATTTCATTGGCATCATTTTGTGCCTTCACTAATTCTGTTACAGTCTTCTCATGCTCAGCCTCACTTGTTTCTATCTCACTGGAGAGATGAGAGATTTCCTCATTCTTTTGCTCTAACATGTCATTGAGGTCCCTCACTGCAAGAATCAAATTAGAGTTTGAATCCTGTGTCTTCTGCAGTTGCAACCGAAGATTGGCATTCAATTCCTTTTCATGATCAAGCTCCTGCCTGATCTCTTCTAACAGAACAACTGTGTCCTCATTCTGAGCCTGCAATTGGCTCTGTAGTGCTGCCTCTTCTGTATTCCCCAACTTGAATTGTTCAAACTCTGATTTTAGTGCATCCCTCTCTTCTTTAAGGCTGGTAATTTGTTGTGACAGATCCTGCATCCTTCTGTTCTCTCTCATAACCTGTTTCCGAAGAGATTGCACCTCTAATTCTGACAAATCTGCCTGCCTTGCTAGCATTACATTTTCATTTTTGAGTTTCTCAATAGAATCATTTGAAGCTTCTCGCCATTCTCTTGGGGTTTCTTCATTGCTGTTACTTGAGTCAACTAAACTTCCCTCTGAAACTGAACCTGCTGACCAATCTGTGTTTGATCTTCGGTGCATATTCTTTTTTCTAACACTGCCATTTTCTTCACCATTCTGACGTATGGCCATGTTGATGTCTCCATCCTGTGAAACAATCAGGAAGAACTTGAGTCCTTAGGTTTAAATAATTCAGTGTGTTTATCACTACCATTCTATCTGTTCTGAATTATGCTTAAGAAAACTCTCAAGGTAGGTCATATGGTACTCACTTCAGCAAAATTTAGGTCATTTCCATCTACATTGTAAATGCTTTCTTGGTTGTGGAGGCTTCCATCTTGAGAAAGTGTCACATCTTCATTTTCTTCTAGGTATCTGTGATTACATTTGAGACTCCAATAAATAAATTGCTGAAGTGGAAATTAGAAGTACAAAGAGGAGCAGGATAGGGAAAAGAAAATTAGGCTAAGGTAATGAACAGGAACAACTACTTATCATTCACATCACCTTTGATCTGCATCTCCCAGCACTCTATGAACTGTTACCTGTCTTACATGAATCAAAGTGAATTTTCACAATATTTCAACAATTAAGTTTAATTATGTTCAGAGAGGCTGAGAGAAAGGGAAATAGAACTGACATGTAGAATGGCACCAGAGTTAGCAAACTTAAGGGGAAGGGAGACAGTGATCGGTTCAGTTTCTGCTGCGAAATCGGCAAAATCAATGGAAGCTTCTCCCAGAAAACCTGATTTAGATGATCCCTGCAGGAATCCAGAAGGGTTGAGAGAACTCCAGCAGAAACACACTCAAAATGAGAGAAAGAGACAAGATATTGGGTTGTACATACAGTCGAAACTATGAAATGGTAAATTTTCTCACTGAGTTTTCCTGTTTTTATTTCCTTGGTGAGTTTCATTGTTTCATAGACAGGATTCTCCCATAAACAGGTTCCATCCTGAACTGCAACTTTCTCTAGCCTCAGCGTTGGCTTCCCAACATCGTCCGGCACCAGGGATATCGTCAAAGCAGACTTCTTCAACTTTGGAACCTAAAATGCAGAACCAGGTTAGATCTTGAAACTATCTAGTCTATACAAACTGGCTCTGCTCATTTAATTGAATTCTACAACTTCAAACTTTCCATTAAAATTAAAAAATGAAAATAGAGATTGGGGTTTGGAAATGAGAAATTGATAGTGTTGATTGTTGAATTTTTACCTGAGTTGCCTGAAACTGCAATTTGAATACAACTTTTATCTTCTTCTTGTCGCGCTTCCATGTCTTGAACATTTTTTTGGTTGTATTATCTGCTTCTGGATCCCTAAACCACTCCTACAACTCAATTCATTGCAATTCTGGTGGAAGATAATGCTGTTAACTTGAAACTTTCTCTCTGAAAAACTCTTCAGTTGTGTTGTTTTGCAGTCGGAGTTCAGGACACAACAAACTTCTGTTTGCGTTTGACTCTGAGATACGCCTATTCTGAAAATATGAGTATACTCCAGACTCCAGAATCCAGTATGTTAGGTCCCCTTCTAATGGGGATTAGGAAATAGCTACTGCAGAAAATTAGAATGCATTACAGAGTAAACAAAACGTAATAAATGACAACTGGAAAAAGGCTGAGAAGTCAGAATCAAATTAATAAATGAAAGTGCATTACAGGGCAGGGAAAATACAATTTAAATAAATAAATTTCAGAGTAGCGCGATTTTTTGCTCTGGACAGCATTATCGTTTGAGATGAAATGACTGAAATACCCCTATGATTGTAAATATATATCCATTCATTAAGAGTATTTTAGACATTTCAGTTGCATTGGAACTATTTCTGTACTTTTAAATATGTTTAAATAAACAGAGCAATATTTTAGTGATAGAAGTGTGGAATCACAAAGCAGTTTTGCTTATGAATGCAGTAAGGCATGAAGTGCGGAGTGGAGCTTTAAAAAACTTAGAAGGCCCTACGCGCTGGTTTATTGTCTTCACTTTCCTTTCCCCAAAATTCCATAAGATTGCCTTTTTTTTACAAGTTTCCAATAGTACCCTTAGATTTAAGTGTCAAACTTCTCCAAAAGGCTAATCCCAGTTTCCTGTCAAAAATTGTGCATAATTATTTTTACATTAATACAATGCAAGTCACGTGACTACTCCATTTATTGTTAATTAATTTTAAGTTTAATTGTTATGGGTATTAAATCTAATAAAAAAGACCAATACTAAGTTATAGTCTTCTTTAAATGGCTTGCTTCTGAGTTATGAGGCTTATAAATTGATTGTGTAGACTAGATTTCTTTGGGTTATTTATTGTATGTAAGAGTATAGGCATCTATCTTTACTACCTAATTCTTTTATTAACAAGTTTTTATGGAGTTGAACTGCCAAGTTGCTATTTTTTTAATAATTTTTGGCATTAATTAATTAGGTGGTGCTGTGCTCTGTTTTATTGAGCATGTTCTTTAATTTGCAAATCAAGAAACAGAATCGTGATGCATAATTGCTAATACCAAAAGTGTTTTCTAATGTTAAAAGGAAGAAATCCACTCAAACCCAAAATAATAGTTTTAAGCACTTTAAATTATGAAATGCCATAAAATGGAAAATATGCTGAAGGCACTGAAGTTGTTTATCGCTCACAAACCCAAAATGTAGTAATTATTGTTGCATTATTGCAAAGTTGCAAGGCCAATCAAATTAGGGCATGAATTGACCAATATCATTAGAGTAGGAAGGAGGATCTTGCATGAAAGTAAAAAAGCAAGGCAGGTTTGGTGTGGACTTTGGAGCTTAGATAGATAGCATTTTTGATATGGTATGCGTCACTTGTCTTTAATCAACTAACAGGTGAATTTAGTTTTAGTGCACAAAAATTAATTTATGATATTATTTAATTGTTATAAATATATATCATATATATACCCTAAGACAATGGCAGGCCAGACACCTTAGGTTTGGCAAATCTTCCCCATATTTCATAATTAACCCCAACTTTACCATGCTCCAGCAGTGCTTCCTACATAAAGGTACTACATTTATTATTGCATGTTTTCTAGTACTATTATCTATGTCCAATCCAGGCCAAATTGCTCTGTAAATTCATGGAAACATGTGGGAACATGTGCTTTCTCTCTCTTCCCACTAAAGTGAGGAATGGGGAAGAAAGGATGACTATGTCTCATGATCATGATGTGTCCTCAACGTGAAGCCTTTTGCAAGTTTTAATTTATATGCTTCTCGTGTCGGAAATAAATGATATCAACAAGGTATTTTCCATTTCAAGTTAGTCTTTTGATCAAAAGACTAAAATACCCATAATAATTCTGTGTGTGAATAATTATTAAGATATTTTAATTTTTTCATTCTTCAACATTCAAAATTGAGAAGACATATTACTACATGGCAAGTTTTTTTTTTTTTTTTGAACATGCTACATGGCAAGTTTATTGCACAAAGCATCATTAATTTTCAAGTGTGGATGTAGATGACTATTGTTTTTTGTCATATTAAAGAGTTGGATTTTATATGATGCGTGGAAGTTGCAAATTGATTTTATTAGGGATTCAATTCAGTCAGACAGAGAAGAAAGTTTGTAGTACTAATACGGATATGGAGGTTTCTCTGGAATTAACTGAAATTTATCTGCACACGCAACTATTGGGGAGGAATGTGCATAGGTGTTCTTTCTTTTTCCTGTCATTAGTGCAAATGGTACCAGTCACAGACAGGACTACCCACCCCCCATGAAGATTGGGTGCTTCCTCCTAAATCTAATGCTTGTCAACAGGTAAATGCTAGAAATTTCCATGTAGAAAGGTGCTTTTGTGCTGTGGCCCCTATCTTTGAAGGCAATGTCTCTTTCAGATAGCAATAAAGGAATTTTTAAGATGTTTTTACTCGAGCTAAAATTCAGGCTAGTGGATCTTTTTCTTGTTGAACAGACGCATGCGAATGTGATTGACTACTTTAAGGATGACTAATTATCTTAGATTTGCAAGAACGGGTGAAACATGGATTCAGAATTGGAAATATTGGTGAGTCTACCAGAAGATCAGTTTCTTTTTGTTATTACTTTTTGGACATATACCAC